AATTCATATATATATATATATATATATATATATATATATATATGAACTATATTTTTGAAAATAAAAAATATTTATTTTCAAATAATAATTCTAATATGTGTAGCCTTGTATGATATTTTTTTTATTCGATTAATTTAATGTGTTTGTCTATTTCTATTATCGTTTGATTGAATAAAAAAATATTATAATAAACAAAATTTAGCGAACATAATTATGTAAATGTCTCGTTTTGCGAGATTAAATATCCTGATTTGTATTTGTCTCTTGATTTTTCAAGTTTTATTTTTAGGTATCGTTAATAACTTTTTATTTATTTATTTATTAACATATATAGTTCTCGGTTTACTTGATTACATGTATACGCAAACTTTTTGATCTACACTTTAATTTTTTGAATTACATAAATGCATTGAAAAAACCTACATATACAATACTTTTATAGAAAATAAAAATATCTAACTCGCGGTGGATTGTGGATTATATTGAAGTGATTAAAAATAACATAAAAAATAAGTAAATTGCATAGACAAGTTATCAATCATAGAGACCCCTCCATATATAGATAATGGAGCATCAATTATTAAGTTTAGGGAGATACTTAGTGGCCGAGTAAGTCAATATAGGATCCATGTGCTTGTAAGTAATAATGGATTCTCACAAGTCCTAAAATTCAACATGTTTAAGAATAAGATTGATATGTTAGATAATTGGTTGATCTCTTAGTTCAAACAATCTGATCCATTCTTTATAGTGAATGTATCTAGTCACTTGATATGAAAAGCCCATAGGGTTGGTAATTGATAGCAAGTGATGTCTAGTAAATTAGGTGACCAGTAGTTGATATTTGCAAAAAAAATCCCTTTTGATGGATGTGGGATTCTCTAACTGTAAAGCTAGTAACTTTATAAAGAGAGAAAGTGCAATAATATTTTAGAGAGAGATACTCTGAAAATATATAGGCATTAGAGAATGAAGAGATTGTGAACCTTTGACCTCAAGAGATTGTGAACCTTTGACCTCAAGGATTTATAGCTTATGAATTTTATTCTTTTGTGGAGAGGAGGAGTTGAAATGTAATTTCAACATTGTGATATTTTGAGTTGTAATAAATTTAAAATAATATATATTTGATCAATATAAAATATCGAGAGACCCAAGTGGGGTTCGAAAAAAATTCTCTGGTGAGTGTTGGGCTCAAATAAGTTTGCCCGAGTCTATTAGAGGTAAAAGTGGATTTGAGAACGCTATCTAGACCTAAATATACTAAGCTCGGGTGTGACAACCCGTGCCCACGAGGGCTATAAGGTGCATTCCCATCACCATTTGGTTGTATGCCCTGCATGGGTGTACATGCATTGGGGTGCACTGAGCGTACATGCACTAGGCAAACGCCTAATGCACTTCATAACACCCATGCATCAAGTGTCCATATGCCAATGCAAGGAGCATGGGCTCGGGATATTTGCCTGAGCCAATGTTCTTGGTGATAGCCCGAGCTCAAGTTCCTTGTGTGTTTTTTAAGCTTTTTTCTCTTTCATAGAATTTCTTTAGGTCTATTTTGGGGGATTTTTTAGTTCATTTTATTTGTATTTATCATATTGTGTTATCAATTTAAAAAGTCTAAAGTGATAGCTTAAGAATATATTTTTTTATATATGTTCCTTATTTTCCATTCCTAACCTAACAACACATCTTAAAACACTAAAGTGACTTAAACCTTAAAATACAAAACTAACTTTTAATAAAATTTAACTCCTTTCACAATATTTGATAGTAAGCAATGAATAGCTTCTACAAGGAGGATGTTTTAGGAATTCCTTTTATTTTTTTTTTCTATTTAGTGTAAGAAGTTAAACTTTATGTATAATATTTTTTTTCTAGTTTATTTAGAATTTTTATAACTTTTTTTTTTAGGTTTCTAGTTTGTTTAGATTAGTTTTTAAGTTTATTTAAGGAGTTGTAAACTTTTTAGTAAGGAAGACTACATGAACATAGAATATTAAGTAATAAAATTATAAATTAAGGTTTTGTGTGATAATTTTATTTGGCTCCAACGATACAAGAGGTTATGTCTTTATAGTTTATTGTTTTTTGGTTTGTGTTTCTGTTTATTAGTTGATATTAGAGTCTAATGATACAATTGATTATTTGCTTGCTATGTGCTAGAATAACCATGACTAAAAGAGGTAGTAGAGTAAGACATGTTCCTATAAGAGGGGATAAAAGGTTCCTCTTGAGCAAGAGATGTACAAAAAATGGTGATAGAAGACATGCAATGACAAATAACAAAATTAAAAAGAGATGTTTAGATGATATAAGATATGAAAAAACAAATTGTAATATTAATCCATTAGTTGTCGGAGGTAAGGAGCTTAAGGTATTTTGAGAAGAGTGATTATGTATCCATGATTAATTTTAAAAATTTATTTCAAATACAGAAGCAGAGAAAATAACTTTTTAATTGGGATGTATATAATATTAAAATTAAAAATTTTGATAATTCTAATTCCTTGGTGTACCATAATCAAATACTAAAATTCGAGGAGGATGATGAAAGTGACGGCAAAGGAAAAGATTTAAATGCAATTTTTTTAATTAGTGATCTCCATGAGAAGATATCAAAATTAGATGTGGTTATTAAACATACCGTGAAGGATGTGCGTTTAAGAAAATTTTTAGAATTAATGAGGGGAAAGCTGATGCTATTGCAATTCAGCTCATGCAAGACTTTCAAGTCGTTGGCAGTATCCAATCGAATATTATAGACTTCGTCTAAGGTAGTTTACAAAGAAAGTACACCCCTAAGACGTGATTATAATAAAAAGTCTATATTTCCTGAAAAAAAGAAAAGAAAAACACTACATAGCTGAGAAAGGCAGATAATATCGATTGTCAAAATCTGAAGGATACTCAAATGAATTTCGGAAATGTTGAGGAGGATGTAGGAAAACCTGAAAATGAACGAGAGAACACAACCCCATCATGGGATGCTGTAATATGATAGAATGGAATGAAAAACATATTGGAATGAGCAATAACTATTACTTGATTTTTCTATTTTCTGTTTGTGTAATTATCAATCTGTAAGTGTTTGTTTGGAATACGAGGAATAGTAATCTAATGCATGAGAATAGCGTAGAGCAGCTCAAAATCTAAGTAGAATACATCATGTTAAATTTGTGTTTAGTGGAGACTATGAATGATAAGTTGATAAATCCAATTTGGGTAATGCTAATAGGAGCTGGCAGGCATTGTATCTAAAGGTTTATCTGGGGGTGCACTGTATGTGTTTGGAACACTGATTTTTCACAGCAAATTCGATTGAGGAAGACGAAGAAAGAATCAATAACCATGCCATTGTCCTAGGAAGCTGGGGATTAGTTTTGCTCGGTGTCTATGTATGAACTATGAAGTGATAGACTAGAGGATGGTGCTTAGGATAGCCTCGTTTCTGTCTCCGTCTCTGTAGTCCCGACTCTCTTTTTGGCTGTTGTTTTAGCTGTCTTGATTTGTGGCCTTTTGCCTTCTATACCAGAAGATTTGGTTCATTTTTTTTTGTGTCTGTTTTTTGTTCTCCCTTTCCATGATAGCTTTTGTTGTCCTGCGTTCTACAAGATTGGCTTATGAAGGAAAAAGAAGACATTGTCACACGATTAATTCAATCGAAAATGATAAAAAAAAACCCTTAATAGTTCAGAATCATGGAAACGAATTTGGAATATCAATATTTATGAGCAATGCAAATTAGTACCATCTACACTGTTGGCATTTTTCTCAGCAGTTTGTTGAAGCTGCAATGCAAATTCAAGGCCCCAAACGACATCACCCATTTTAGGGCGTACAATTCCTTGGCCATGTAAGCAACTGTTAGCAATCTCTGCAAACTTATTTAAAGAGACAGGGGCAACCTCGCCCTTATCCACGATCTGATCAAGGGTTCCTCTTTGGTAACATCTTCGTGCCCACTCAGCTAAGCTTGCTTGCTCTTTCGGTGAACTTGGAATCACTGGTGGCCTTGCACATAGCACCTCAAACAAAACCACACCGAATGAATAAACATCAGATTTCTCTGTTAGGTGTTGCCTACGGTAGTAGTCTGGATCCACATATCCAATGCTACCTCTAACTACAGTGCTAACATGGGTTTGGGATGTACTAGTGGGACCCAATCTGGACAGCCCAAAATCTGAAACCTTAGCCACCCAATTCTCATCTAACAATATGTTTGTTGACTTCACATCACGGTGAATGATTGTGTGCTTTGCTCCCGAATGAAGATAATGCAACCCTTTTGCAGCACCGATGCATATTTCTAGCCTTTGCTTCCATGGAAGAGGAGAGCTCTTTGTTTTGTATAGATGTTCTCTTAGGGTGCCTCTTGATATGTAATCGTATACAAGGATCATCTCGCCATGATCATCACAGTATCCAATCAGTGACACTAGATGGAGGTGGCGAAGATTGGATAACATCTCAATCTCTGTCTGGAACTCACGTGTCCCTTGCTTTGATGATGAATCTAGTCGTTTGATGGCTACTGCACCGTATTCAATGTATCCTTTATACACAGTACCAAATCCCCCAGAACCAATAATATTTTGATCATCAAAGTTTCTTGTTGCGTCTTTGATTTCAACAAATGTAAACCGTCGGCAAAGATCAGTAGGTAGTGATGAAGAGATTGTAGTCGTGGACCTAGATATTTGTGATATTAAAGTCCAGGAGGATTTTTCCTCACTCTTGCTAGGGTCCTTGACTCGCTTCTGCTTGAAAGCAAAGAAATAAAGAATAAGAGAGCAAGCAAATACTGTGCCTATGGAACCTCCAACGATGCCTATAACCATAATTATTGATGATCTTTTGCCCGTTCTTCTCTCTGGATGTTGTTCTGCTGGTGGAGGAGCCACTGTTGGCTCAGGGTTGAATCCTGCAAGATTTCCGTCTGTTGTATTCAGCTTGAATATTTCCAAGCCATTCAAGATTGCATCAGCATAAGTAGGTTTCAGTTCCATGTTAGGGTGTAGTTCGAGCCACAAGTCCTGCTTGCTCTGGCTCCCTTGAGGGACCAGCACGATGTAGTCTTTGTAAACTGGAATGCCGTTGCCGCAGCTCATATGGATCACATCTGCATCATACGCTGCTGTTTGATTGTTGATGAATATTAAAAATACCTGTTGATTTTCATTTTTGAACTCCATTCGAGTCTCACAAAAGTGGAGCCTAAGGAGATAATGGAAACCAGCGTCAACTGGGAAGATCCAGGTGAGATTGTAATTCAGGTGAAGATGTGGTTCAGGACCCATTGAACGCATAGTACTATATACCATAACAGGTGCGGAGTAAGCTGGCGTTTTGGTTGTGTACTTTATCTTAACGCCTGGGAGATATGGAGTGTTTCCAGCTTGTCCAATGTGATAGTCTAAATCTTGATTCCATGTCCTGTACATGCCAGTATCTCCTGGGCTGCCGATATCTTGCCCCCCAACATTCAGTCGATAAACTGTCTCAAGCGCAGTTGTGTTATCCAGAAAGGTGTGGACATCGGGGCCCACATAGGCTAGTGGATTATCATGGCCACGAGCATAGAAGCTGTCTGGCATGGAAACAATTTCGATACCATTAATGAAGGAAAAAGATGCTGGAGACGGAACGAAGGTTAATTCAAGCTTCTGGTTGTCCCTCACGGTGATGATGAACTCTTATCGAACGGGATCGGGTCACTGATTTTCATATTTATTTATTCGTCTTATTTCAGGGAGCAATGAACGCAAGTGGATAATGAGATTTGGGATTCATTCTTCGAAATGTTCTCACGTTTTGGGTTCGAAAGATTGAAACAACCTCCACATTTCTACTTTCTCTTGTTTCATTGAAGTGATAAACTAACTACGACATTATAAAATTAAAAAGGTATGAGTGTTTCACCGTGCATGATCTTACTATTCATTCTCTCATATATCATTATAGATGGACTGTACAAAACTTTTTATTTTTTCAATTTGATTCTTAAACTTTCTTTTCAGCGATTTAGTTCTAATTAAAGATCAATTAATTTTGATTTTTTATAAAAAAAATGAGATTGAAAGAAGAGGGATCTAAATGAAAAAGGCATCAAACATGGTGATATGCCTTAGTTTTGAAAATGATGCACTTTGATCCTCAAATTTTTTAAAAATAGATTATATAATTTCAATACCTTAATATTTTTCACTTTAGTCCCTAGTTAAGAGTAGAGAGAGAAGTTGCTAGATTCCAATGATAAAAAGAGAATGTAAAGGCTCGCATAAACATAAGATCGAAGTATGGAGACCCCAATGAGTAATGGAGACTCAAAATAAAAAGAAATCTAATAAATAGTAAAAATAATAATAAATGTGCAATTAACAAGATGATAACACTATAAATATCATTCTATTTTCTCTCTTGGAGTGACTTGCAAGAATAAGAGAGCTTAGATAGACGCTGGAGAGAAGACATATTGATGGTAGAAAATCCGATAGCTAAAACTTCACTTTCCATCGTTTGGTAAGAGCAATATTTGGATATGTTGTTCTTCTTCATGTAGTGCACATTGTCACTGGAGGGATCTACTATAGTAGGCCCCGTTTGAGAGATATCACGGGAGGACAATTTCTGGGAAAATACATTTCTAGACAGTTGTCGTCGCTGACTATTTTCTTCTCCGGCCACCATTAGATTGGGCTATATTTTGGATATGTTGTTCTTTTCGATGCTATCTAGATTCTGAATAGTGGAGATCAGAAACAAACTCTTGGCATAGACGTTGTGCTTCTCGCATAGCAAGCCTACAAGTTTGAGGTCAATTCAGTTAAACCCATGTTTATGGAAATTTCACCATTCGATGAAGTTGAGATTTAGATATGTTATACTCATAATAATTCATTATAACTTAACCATATAGATTATATGGAATATTATCTGTTTGTTATATATGGTATGTGATATGGCTAGGGGTTGAGATAAAAGAGAGAAAGTTAAATTGTGGATGGTGTGTGTAAATGAAAAGGGTGGTGAATCTGGACAGATTCATCTCCTGACTTTTAGAGAGAATTCGAGTAGAAGGATGAGGGAATTTGGATCAGTTTCCTCATAATAATTGTAGTTTTGGATGTTAGCTAAATAAAAAAATTGGTCTTGCTCAATTGGGAGCTGTAGAACTCCAGTTATCGGTGACCAATCGAGACTGGGTCATGATTGACTCTATAAGGTAGTAAGACTGACTAGTTGATGGGCTATTTTGACTATCTTAGGGGCATAATTGGTTTGTCCTTCATCATAAAACTTGTAGCCTCTTGTCTTAACTTTCCAACAAGACCAATCTCACTTGAAATGGAGTTTTATAACTTTAAATATAGTTAAAAGTTTGAGAAGAGGTTAGATAGTAGCAGTTCAATTTTTTAGATAGTAACAGTTGGACACTAACAGTCCAATGTTCGTTGATGAGCAATTTTGATTTTCTTAGAGGTAGAACTTGGTTGTCCTTCCTACATAAAACTTGTAGCCTCGTGTCTCTTTTCAACGAAACTAATCTCGCTTGAAATGGAGTTCTATAACTCCAGTTATAGTTAAAAATATAAGGAGAGGTCAGACAGTAACAGTTTAATTTTTAGTTAGTAATAGTTGGACAATCTGTTATATTAAGCTATCTAAAACTTGTAAATTGGTAACTTTTATTTGGAATTGTTTTTGAAATACAAAATGTTGAATGGAATTGTTTTTGAATTACAAAATGTTAAATTATGAAGGTAGTATGTACATATGTGTATGTATGGCAAGACTTGAAATTTAAATTAGTGTAACTGTTGGTACAGGTGAAATTATAGAAAATAGACTAGAGTAGAGGACGACTAGCAGAGCACAGTTTTCAGGTAAGTGTCTGACACTTCGATTTCTAATTGAAAGTCTTGTCTAATTCTTTAACTTAGTCCCTAATAAGATGTAATTCAATTTTTTGTATTTATATGTAGTGTTTGAATGTTGAATGGACAAGTGCCCTAGTTTGGACCGGTGCCCTATGAAAGGGCTGTGGAATGGACTAGTATCCTGGTTTGGAACTAGTGCCCTATGAATGGGCTGATGGTTAGACCAGTGTCTAGGTTTGAAACTAATACCATGCAAAAGAGTAATCAATATAATTAGTTATTATTAGACAAGATGAGTGTGCTAGCAGTTGGGAAACTGTAGAAATTGATGAATAAAAGAATTAAAAAGCAAATTGTTAGTGTAATGAAAAGCTATATTAGATCACCTTAATTAATTTAATTATGAATATGTCCACTTGGCTAGAAATTAGTATACATACATACACAAATTGTGATCAACCGCAACAATAGACACCCACGTGTAAATCAAAAGTTGACCAAAACCATCTAGGTGGTGGCCAAGTGGTAAGGACTTGGGATCAAGGGGTTTGCTCCCTCTGTGGTCTCAGTTTCGAGTCCTTGGTTGCTCATATGATGGCCACTGGAGGCTTACATGGTCGTTAACTTCAGGGCCCGTGGGATTAGTCGTGGTACGTATAAGCTGGCCCGGACACCCACGTTAATCTAAAAAAAAAAGTTGACCAACTAACCTGTTGACAGCTAATGACATCCGTATTAGGATGACAGGGAATGATTGATTGGCATCCATGTTGGGATGGCCAGGAATGATTGAGTGACACAACATCCGTGTTAGGATGACCGAGAATGATTGATGAGATTAACTTTGGCTAATGATATCCGTGTTGGAATGACCATGAATGATTGATGGAATTAATTTTGACTAAGAATACACATGTTAGAATGATCAGGACTATTTTAGGTAGTCAAACTAAACAAAGAAAATTAATTGTCTAAAATGATTCATGATGATCACCAAAATTTGGTATTGAAAAATTAAAGGATTCCTATAAAATATAAGGAATATATTATATGTCCTTTATATATATTGCATTAAAAAATTATATTTTATTTCTTTTGTTTAGTATGCTTATATAAATTTAACATTGTAACAGGACCTTCTCACACCCAAGATGCCCAGTAGTCCTTCAGAACATTACCTTTACTAAGATTAAATAATAAATTTGATATGTTTGTGTAAATTTTAATGTATAATGTCTTAAAGCAAAGATAATAAAATATGTGTAATCTATAGCTCCAGTTTATACATAGATTTATAGATTTATGCTTATGAATCAAATGATGTTATTTCTAGTGCATATGTAATAGCTAGTTAAGGTTTATTTAGTAAGGGTAACATGATCATTCAACTTTAATGGAAATTTCCTTACTTAGAATTTTGTCTATATAATGTTGAGTTAAATACCTATGCTTGTATGATACGTGGGAAAATATCATTGAGAAGACATTGGAAGAATGCATCATGATTCCAAGAAGGTTGAATCAGGGATTGTGAAATGGTTTTTGGAAAGTGTACAGGTTTGTGTTGATAACCGGTATCGTTGAAGTTTAGGAAAAACTCTACTGAATTTTTGATAAAATATTTGATAGCACAATGTGGATTGAAGTATGACATTACAATTAATCATAATCATATCTATTCATATGAGAATGTATGTATAAGTATAAAAATATATATTAAATTACTTGTATTCTTATGTACCAAATTGTTGGAAGGTAACTATAAACGTATATGATAGTGTGGGGTGCTACAGAAAATCATGTCGTTGATATTGATTTAGGTCATTAAAACAGATGATATTTATGTTAAATAGCTTATATGAGGTATTTTTCTGACTTTTAAAGTTCGTGAAAAAATAAATATGATCTCGAGTTGATTTTTGGTTTCAAGTTATTTCTGTTTTTTAGAGGTTTTTTTGCTTTTTTTGAGGCCATAAATAGGTTTATTATGGTTCTTAAGGTTTTTTATAGGTGTTTTGGGTTAAAATGAGTTTTTGGTAAAAACATTTAGACCTTAATTTTTCGACCACCATAGTAGTTAGAATCTAGGCAAGATTAGATGCTGCATTGTTTGTTTAAACAGGTGACATGTAGTCTAATTTTTTTTTCAAAAAAATAAGGGTGGATAACATGTCATTCGCTTTAAGTGCAACACAAAAAAGGAACCTAGTCGGGAGAGCCTTAATGAAATGGGTCATGCCCAATATCACTTGACCTTTTTTTCCCCTATTTTTCTCAATTAATCCTTATTTTTATATTTTTTTATAAAATAAAAAATTATTTATATTTATATTAATACCTCTTTTTTTTTTGTTTAGATGAACTATATTTTTGTTTAGATGAGCTATAATTGTTTGATTGAATGAAAAACATTGTAATAAACAAAATTTAACAACACATAATTTTGTAAATGTCCCATCTTGCGATATCAAATATCTTAATCTATACTTGTCTCTTGATTTTTCAAGTTTTATTTTTAGGCATTATTAATGAGTTTTATTCATTTATTAGCACACATAATTATCCATTTACTTAATTACTTGTATGCATAAACTTTTTAATCTACGCTTTAATTTTTTGAATTATAGAAGCACGTTAAAAAACCTACATATATAATGTTTTTATAGAAATTAAAAATATCTGACTCGCGTAGGAGCACGAGTCATATAACTAGTATGTGCTAAATTGAAGTGATAAAAAATAACAAAAAGCACAAGTAAATTGCATAAATAAGTTATCAATGATAGAGGCCCTTCTATATATATATATAGATAATAGAGCATCGATTCTTAAGTTTAGGGAGACACATGGTGGCCGTGTAAGTCTATATATTAGATCCATACGAATGTAAGTAATGATGGATTCTCATGAGTCTTGGAATCTAACATGCTTAAGAACAAGATTATGTGTTGTATAATTTATTGATTTTTAAGTTTAAGTAATTTAATCCGCTCTTCATAGTTGATGAATCTGGTAACTTTATATAAAAAGCCTAAAGGGTTGGTAACTGTAGCAAGTGATGTCTTGTAAACCAAGTGACCGGTAGCTGGTACCTGCAAAAGGTCCCCTTTGGTGGATGTGGGGATTCTCCAATGGTAAACTTAGTAACTTTATAGAGTGAGAACATGCAATAATATATTAGAAAGAGATACTCTGAAAATATATACGCAGTAGAGAATGAAGATATTATGAACCTTTGACTTGAAGGACTCATGGTGTATTTATAACTCATGAATCTAATCCTTTTTGTGGAGAGGAGGGATTGAAGTGTAATTTCAATATTATGATATTTTGAGTTATATTCTACTTAAAATAATATGTATTTGATCAATATAAAATACTGAGAGACGCATATAGGGTTCGAAAACAATTATTTGATGAGTGTTGGGCTTAGGCAAGGTGCGCAAGCCTATTAAAGGTGAAAGTGAATTTGGAAGCGCTACCTGGACCCAACCACACTAGACTTGGTATGACAACTCGTTCCCACAAGGGCTATCGAGTGTATGCTCAACACTAGCCAGGCGTACGCCCTATATGGGTGTACACTCACTAGGGTGCACTGGGTAGACGCCCAATACACTATATGGTGCCTATGCATTGGGCATCCATATGCCTAGGCAGGGAGAATGGGCTCAGACTACTTGCTCGATCCCATGTTCTTAGTCTGTGGGCTTAGGCTATCATGCCCGAGCTCGTGTTTCTTGGGTGTTTTTTTTTAGCTTTTTTCTCTTTAGAGAATTTGTTTTTGGTCAATTTTGAAGGATTTTTTATATTCATTTTATTTGTATCTTTCAGATTCTATTATCAATTTAAAAATTCTGAAGTGATAGATTAAAAATATATTTTGTATATAAGTTCCTTATTTTTTATTCCTAACCCAACAACACATCTTGAAACACTAAACTAACCTGAACCTTCAAACAGGGAACTATATTTTATTGAAAGTTAACCTCTTTCATAATATCTGACACTAAGCAATAAATAGCTTCTAAAAGGAGGGTTTTTTTAGGAAAATTTATTTATTTTTAATGTTTTTCCTATTTAGAGTAAGAAGTTAAATTTTATGTTTAATATTTTTATTTTTCCTAGTTCATTTAGAATTTTTGTTACTTTTTTTTTATTTTAAGGTTTTCTAGTTTGTTTAGATTAGTTTTTAGGTTTATTTAAAGAGTTGTAAACCTCTTAGTGAGGAAGACTACATGGACATAAAATATTTGGTAATAAAACTATAAATTAGGGTTATGTGAGACAATTTTATTTGGCTTCAATTATGTCTTTATAACTTATTGTTTTTTCTGTTTGTGTTTCTAGTTAGTTGATATTAGAGTCCAACGATACCAATGATTATTTACTTGCTATGTGCTTAAATACCATGACTAGAAGAGGTAGTAGAATAAGATATGCTCATATAGGAGGGGATGAAGAGGTCCCCTTTAGGAAAGAGATGTTCAAAAAATTATGATAGAAAATATACAAAAATAAATTGCAAAATTGAAAAGAGATTTTCATATAATATAAGACATGCAAAAACAAATTGCAATATTAACTCATTAGTGGGTGGAGGTAAGGAGCCTAGTGTATCTTCAAAAAAATAATTATAAATTTATAGTTAATTTTAAAAACCTGTTTCATAGACATAAGCATAAAGAAAATAACTTTTTTATTTAAATGAATATGATATTAAAATATTTTTTATTTGAAAATTCTAGTTTTTTTATGGATTGAAATCAAATACCTATCAAAATTTGATAAGACGATGAAAATAAAGGTAAAGAAGAAGATTTAAATGTAAAATTTTTAATTAATGATCTCCAGGAGAAGATAACAAAATTAGATGCGGTTATGAAACATGCCGTGAAGGATGCGTGTTAAAGAAAATTTTTAGAATTAATGAGGTGAAAGCAGATGCTATTGCAATTCAGCTCCTGAAAGACTTCGAAGTCGTTGGCAGTATCCAATCGAATATTACAGACTTCGTCAATCGTAGTTTACTAAGAAAGTACCCTTAAGACATGATTATACTAAAAAGTCGTTGGCAGGATCCAATCGTACATTATGGACTTCGTCTAAGGTAGTTTACAAAGAAAGTACCCTTAAGACGTGATTGTAATAAAAAGTCTATATTTCCTGAAGAAAATAAAAAAAATAAAACACTACAAAGCTGAGAAAGGCAGACAATATCGATTGTCAAAATTTGAAGGATACTCAAATGAGTTTCGAAAATATTGAGGAGGGTGTAGGAAAACCTGAAAATGTACGAGAGAACACAACCCCATCTTGGGTTGCTGTAATATGATAGAATGGAATGAAAAACATATTGGAATGAGCAATAACTATTACTTGATTTTTCTATTTTCTGGGTGTGTAATTATCAATCTGTAAGTGTTTGTTTGGAATACTAGGAATAGTAATCTAATGCATGAGAATAGCGTAGAGCAGTTCAAAATCTAAGTAGAATACATCATGTTAACTTTGTGTTCAGTCAAGACTATGAATGATAAGTTGATAAATCCAATTTGGGGAATGCTAATTAGGAGCTGGCAGGCATTGTATTCTGAAGGTTTATCTGGGGGCACTGTGTGTGTTTGGAACACTGATTTTCCAACGCAAATTCGATTGAGGAAGATGAAGAAAGAATCAATAACCATGCTTTTGTTCTAGGAAGCTGGGGATTAGTTTTGCTCGGTGTCTATGTATGAACTATGAAGGGCTAATAATCGAGTGATAGACTAAAGGATGGTGCTTAGGATAGCCTCGTTTCCGTCTCCGTCTCTGAAGTCCCGATTCTCTTTTTGGCTGTTGTTTTAGCTGTCTTGATTTGTGGCATATTGCCTTCTATACCTGCAGATTTGGTTCATTTTTTTTTGTCTCTTTTTTGTTCTCTCTTTCCATGATAGCTTTTTCTGTCTTGTGTTCTACAAAGATTGGCTTGTGAAGGAAAAAGAAATTGTCACGCAATTAATTCAATAGAAAATGAAAAAAAAAAACCCTTAATTAATAGTTCAGAATCATGGAAACGAGTTTGGAATATCAATATTTATGAGCAATGCAAATTATGATCATCTACACCATCAGTTGCTTGGCACTGACCGCATGCTAACCATGACATCAAGCTACAACAATATAATGGATATATGCAAAAGCTCAGGATTCTACAGTGGCACCAGGTCCACTTATAACAAATTGAAGCTGCTATTTATATATATCTAGACATGATCCAATGCTAGCAAGCTGCGAATCATATATTTTAAGCAGCCCACATTGAGAAATGATTTCAATCTCATCTTGCCTTTGGGTCAATTATTTCAGAAAACACACCCCTTGCTCTTTGATCTGGATCACTTTGGGTGACACTTTCATGAGTGCTAACCGTGCTCCTTGAATGTGACTCGGCGTTAGGTGTTGCCTACGGTAGTACTCTGGATCCACATATCCAATGCTACCTCTAACTACAGTGCTAACATGGGTTTGGGATGTACTAGTGGGACCCAATCTGGACAGCCCAAAATCTGAAACCTTAGCCACCCAATTCTCATCTAACAATATGTTTGTTGACTTCACATCACGGTGAATGATTGTGTGCTTTGCTCCCGAATGAAGATAAT